GTGTGTGTGTGTGTGTGTGTGTGTGTGTTGGGGGGTCTGTTCAGATTAGATGATACCACTGAGATTACACATCTTGAAATATTGACTTTCTTCTTTCCTCCCCATTCTTTTTTCCTTTTGGTGTTGTGCTTGTGTGATCCTGAAAGCAGGTGCTACCTTATTTTCAGTATTTCTATAACACCAAGTCTTCACCCCCAACAATCAATTATCATTCTAAAGCCATTCAGCAGACTCAGCTTCCATAGGACTGGTGGTTTTTTGGTGGTTGACAGGCAAACACTGCTTTGTCTTTAGGTGTTTTATCTGCTAAAGATCTTTTTTATTTTGTTGTCACTCTGGGAATTCCCTTGCAAGGGTGGTTTGACAGTGTAGTAAGATGTGGAGAGGTATGGTGGATAGTGTTGGTATAAACTAATTTTAGTTTTTTTTTCTTTTTCTTATCTTCTGCCTTAATTTCTTGACTTTTACTTTCTTACTCCTTTTCCACACTCTTTTCTGCACTTTTCTGTTGCTAACTATAAGGTATAATAGCACAATAGATATGCATGTATGAGGTTTCCCTGAGCCTATGCCCACCTTTCTCTTGTGTATGGATGAAAGCTGCTGTTTTAGTTCCAGAAGAATCCACATTCATTGGAGGATGAATTGCTGCTAGTATATAGGAGAAATTTACCAAGTTCTATTCATCTCCAGTATGTCTTATTCTTATTTATGTGTTATAGACTACTTGAAAGAGGGATTATATATCCAAACAGATACTGTAACCAGCTATTTACAGTATGTATAAAAATGAAGAATAATGGATTAGATTAAGGTCCCTTCAATAAAAAGAATTTCCCATCAAGACTGTAGGCTCATGACTTCTGGTGGGAATTAATTGTGGTTTAATCATCTTTGATGAACTGGAGCTGGCACCACAGCAGAGATTGGCACCCAGAAGCCAGCGCTGGATGCCATAGTTCGTCCAGATGAAGGAGAGAGCATGAAATAACCCATCGGATCTCCGGACAGCTGCTCCCGATGAGTTAACTGCAAAAACGGAAGCTTTTGCAGTTTGCTCACAAGTTGAGCGACTGGGAGATGTGGGATTCCATCTATGTGGTGCAGCCAGCTTGGACATTAGAACCAGTCAATCCCCATTTCTTAATCACATTTGGATTTAATTATTCTTCAACCTGAGGGTTTTTTTTACTACAGATAAGTACCTCCCTTAGTGATTTTCAATTTTGGGAGGGGATTATAAATTTAAAAGAAGATTTAAAGTCTTAAAGTTGAAAGAGTATTTGACAAAAAAGCATAATAAGGGATGATATAAGAAAGTTAAAAACAGATGAAGGGGAAGGCTACTTTAATTTTTTTTTTTTAATGAAACTGCATTATGAAAATCCTAACTGAATTAAAATTGTCTCAGACCGTTTGTGGGAATGCTGTTTGACTATTTGTCACCGGAAAAATTGTTTAAAATGTATAAAGGTACTTCAAATTTATGTTGAAAATGTGAGCAACAAGAGGGGACTTTTTATCATGCTTGGTGGACATGTAAAAAAGCTTAAAAAAATTGGATCTAAATACATACATTAATTCAGAAGATTTTAAAGATTTATATACAACTGAAACCAGAAATGTTTCTTCTAGAACTGACTGACAAAAAGTTGGAAAACACTCATAGAACTTTGTTTTTATATATGACAACAGGAGCAAGACTTTTATATGCACAATGGTGGAAAGATTTGGTGTTACCCACAATGGAAGAGTGGATGGTGACGATGATGGAGCTTGCTCAGATGGCTAAATTGACAGCCTTGATTAGAGAAAAGGTACTGATTAATGTCAATTGGAAACCCCTTTTGGACTTTTTGCATGAAACAGAAAAAAATGAAATTATGATATATGGGTCTGATAACCCCTTTTGGACTTTTTGCATGAAACAGAAAAAAATGAAATTATGATATATGGGTCTGATAACCCCTTTTGGACTTTTTGCATGAAACAGAAAAAAATGAAATTATGATATATGGGTCTGATAACCCCTTTTGGACTTTTTGCATGAAACAGAAAAAAATGAAATTATGATATATGGGTCTGATGATAGAAAAAAATGGAAGTTATGTTGTAACCACAGAGTAACAGTTCAATTTAATTTGTACCTATAACTGTTGTGAAAGAAAATTGGAAGTCATTTCTTTATATTTTTTTCCTTTCTTTTCTTTCTGCACTTTTGGCATCATCCTCCCTCCCCCCCCCCCCCCCCCCCTTTTTTTTCTTCTTTTTTTTTTTTTTTTTTTTTTTTTTTTTTTTTTTTTTTTTTTT